ACTTGAAAATCGACAAATAAACTATGTTGTCAATTTTATTCTAATATAATTTATTCTATACTTATATTTGCGGGGTTGTCGCTTTTTCCTTCTCATACAAATATCAGAAATTGTTCAATTTATGATTTTTAGCTTTTGCCATCGTCGCGAAAAGACGCTTGTTGGCAAAGGCATGCTCGGGGAGATGTCCGATCTGAATTTGAATTGAACTTCCACATGTATGTATCTATATGCTGATATGTAGATGCGTATGAAAATTGAAATGAAATGCGATTTACATATAATATTATTGTAATATATTATAATAAGTAGTTTAGTATATTATGATAGTATGTCATRTATGTATATATGTACATATATAGCATGTCTACATACTCATATGTAAATTTATAATATATTATCAAACATATGAAATATTTAAAAATTAGCTCTTATTTGTACTTTAACTACAAATGTTACTTTGAAAATATCATAATTTAAAGATAAAGTTATCAATTTTGCATGCATTCAAAAAAAGTCTCACAATATGATATTCAATATCAATTAATATGATTGCATGATGTAAACGTATAGAATTATATGCAAAAGGCTAACATACGTCTGCAATAGAAATGTATATTTCTGAGMRTAATTKTCATTGAATGCTCAGCTCTGTTCACGCTCCACTGTTAAGATTTCTCCTTCTTAGCTAGCTGTGCTGAAATGCACTCATCGCATTTTGTTAGCTTTTGACAGTTTACACGCCTGTCCGTTGTTGGACCTTCTCTATAAATATACGTTCTCTGATACTACCTGCAGACTTGTGCGTTGATTTTGTGGATAGAGTGCCAAAAATAAGTTTTGGTCTAAACTTCACACAGCATAATGGGTTTTGTACAGAGCTTATGCACAATTTAAGCAATATATTGCCTTATAGCATGCAGAGCACAAATCCAAAATATGTTTGGTTGTAACTTGCGAGTTGCTAAATCGGGCAAATTATGCACTTTCACTTTAATTAAAATSAACTTGTTACCTGTTATCCGGCTCGATGTACCAATGATAATTCGGGTGATGGAGCACGGTGCTCGCTCGTTCCGTAGTTGTGGTTGGCCGTGGGGCAACGATGGGCGCAAATGATTCCCCAAATGTTAAATAAAAAACAAAAGGTTTCTTATAATAAATATATTTTACAAATAAAAAATTGGACAAACACTTATCACGTCTGGATCTGTGAGCGGTCGCCAAAGAAAAAGGGAGCGCGCGACTTTTTTAGTTATTGTTTAGTTGCGCGAATTAATACTTYGAAAAATAGGAAAAGGAAATATTGTTCTGCCGATACAGACGTGGCATAAGAAATTGGGCAGGAGCGGCGTCAAAACCATTATTACCTAAGTAAATATATGTATGTATGTATATATTGGGCATTAGAGGTTTTGATAAGATTTTAAAGACCAAGCCGACGCACTTATTCGCATATGGATGCAATTATGTATGTGTACATATAATATAAACAGATTTTTAAAAACCATAACCGTAATGATAAAATTTTTTTTTGATAAAATCTCGTTGTTATAAAATCTAAAAGTCATATTCATATAAATATGTATATATGTAAACGGATACCCATAAAATTCATATGTATGTAATTTTGTGTTCATGTAAACAAATTTGAAAGAATCATTCGCAGAATGTTTGTAAACACAATTTTTTATGTAAATATGTACACACATTGATTCATAACCTCCGTTGTCACGGACAACCAATGGCCGAACTTCACGTTTTGTCAAAATGTCAATGTGGCTAAGGACTGACGCGACGACAAAGCGTCACAGCTTTGTGAAAATCCAAACTGTACCGAAAAAAACGAATGGCCGCCGATTGTCACCGCTTCCCTTTTCCGCTGAAGCAACTTCGCCTAGCTGYGTAAAAATATTTCAGAATCACAAAAGTTTTCACATTCCTTGACAAATACAGTCAATACTGGTTATCTGCCACATTAAAAGATACAGGTATTTGTAATTAGTTAGCAATAAAAATATAATATGGTACATAAGCGACAGCGGATACTTAAACGACTCGTCCTTAAAACAATTTCTATATGTGACTTGGTCTACGAAAAGGGAGCTAACGTGCGAAAACTAGTTTTCTGGGAAACAGCTGTTAAAAATCTCATCTTCCATCCGAATCAACTAAAAAGTGAAAATTGATTTTTTGGATTTTTTRACACCTAAGCCCCCTTTCCGTAGACCAGGTCACATATATTATTTTACAAAAAGCAAACCGTGAGATGCAGCAAGATATAATATATGCTGTTAAGAGTGATGAGGGAGGGATTTGATTTTCATTTAAGCGGAGGACTTCATAGCCGGGAATGAATGAATATTTTCTTTGAAGCATTGCTTGAATTGAAAACCGACAAATAAACTATGTTGTCAATTTTATTCTAATATATTTTAAAACTTATTTTCGCGGGATTGACACTTTTTCCTTCTCGTACATTTCAGATATGTACGATGGCCCATAGGGCCCCCTACCGTTCGTCCCATTKGTGATTTTTTGTATGTAAAGTTGCAATGAATGCAATGAAGTTAAATAATTTATCGATCGTATGTTTGCTATCAATAGCTTTTTTAATCGTTTGTCATCACTATCATATTTGAGGGACAGCTGTCATTCAGGCAATTAAAAGAAGAGAAAGTGTCAAAAGTGATTAGTGTTGATTAAAAAAAAGTGTCGCTTAAGAAGTATAACTGATAATAATATAATAAAAATGGACATTGGAACCTTTTTTAATAATACTACAAGTACGTAATAGTTGACTTAAGTTATTGCATTACACTTTTTAATGATACATATGTTCTTATTGCAACGAGATTGAAGAGGAGGCTGAGCTTAAATGATAGCATCTCAACTGAAGAGAGGTACGCGGCAGATATGAAGGCGGATGATTGCCATGCCAACGATATTGGCAAATGGGTGGCTTTAGTCGGTACGATGAGTGAGGAGCAGAAAAAGTAACTGTTGGTTAGTTGTTGGAAGCCCGACCAAAATTATAATTTTTCAACTGATGCAACACACTTGAAGAGAAAATTCAATTGGTCATGATTAGATTTATACAAACCATGGTTGGTGTACTCGTGCAGGCTAAAGGGCGCTTTTTGTCTTTATTGCGTGCTGTTTAAGCCTCTCAACAAACTTGGCGTAACTTCCTCGTTTGTTGTACGCCCTTTTACAAAATTTAAAAATGTGCATGAGTACTGCAAAGCTCATGCATCAAGCAGTTTGCATAAAGGAGCTACGCAATCAACAATGTCATTTTTAAATGAAACTCCTGTCGATTTGCAAATGCAACGGGGTCATCCAAAAAAAAATTGAACGAAATAAAAAAATTAATAAATCCATTATAAATACAATTTTGTTTTGTGGAACGCATGACCTTACTCTTCGTGGCAAAAAGAATGATGAAGGTAAATCTAACAGATTTATAAAAGTTAAAAACTATATTTCACTTTTTGAAGGGTGTTCTATATGATCTGCTTATGATGAGTTGGTGATGAGGCATTAAAAAACAATTTGGAGGATAGCAAACAAAACGCAAAGTATACTAGTCCACAAATCCAAAATGAAATTTTGGACATTTCGGCGAAAGTAATTATAAATTACATCTGCACAGCAGACATGTCTGGAAAGGAACAAATTTCGATAGGAATTCGATTTTTTGACAGCAGAAAAAAAATTATCCGTGAAGAATTTATGGGATTTATGGAATTAGATGCAATGGATGCAGCAACAATTGTAGCCAACATCAAAGGATTTGTGGAAGGTTTTGACTTAGATCCTGCTAAATGTGTTGGGCTTGGGTTTGATGGATGTGCTACTATGGCCGGCAATACTAGTGGGGTGCATAAAATATTATACATTCCAAAAAAGTTGTTATATTCATTGCGCCAGTCATTGCCTCAATTTGTACATTCTTTGTTTGAAACACGCTGGTCGTAGAAGTACAAAAGCATCGCTGATTTTTAAAATTTCTATTGTGATATAATAGATGGATTGGAAAAACTAAGCACAGAAGGAAACGCTGGCACGAGAAAATTTGCATTCCAACTTCACAGTGCTGCAACTAAAAGCGTTTTTCTTATTTGTATGTTCATTATTGCCAAATATTACAGCATTCTCCAACCCGTAGTGAATATATTGCAAGCCAAGAACAATGATGTGATTAAATGTAGAGATCACATCAATAACATTTTAAATTTATTTGAGGAACATCGAGAGACATCTGCCAGCGAATTTGAAACGATTTTTAGAGACTGTGAAATGTTAGCTGAGAATGCATCGATCAATATAAGTGTGTCCAGAGTCGGCGAGAAGCAAACAAAAAGATCAAATCCTCCATTCACGACAACAGCAGAGTATTATCGCCGGGCAATTTTCATTCCCTATTTGGACTCTTTAATAACATCTATTAGAGAACGATTTCCTAAAGAAAACACTCCAACTTTTGATCTCGCAGCCTTAAGTCCACTGCATATGAAAWCTATCTCTCTAAGCGAATTCAATGAAAAAGTTTTGCGTGCAAGTTCTTTTTACAATATAAAAAATATTGAAAATGAGCTTAAACTTTATTAAAAATATTGGAAAGATAGAGGAAAAGGGAGGGACTTGGAATTCTGTTCGCAATTCCCTGCACAACTGCCACTGTTGAACGGTCGAGGGAATCGGTTGAATGGTAATAAAAGCAAAAATTTTTTATAAAGAATTAAGTACGTAAATTTTATTTTTTCAGGATTGTGCATGCTTAGCACCCGCCGGGCTTTAGTCAAAGAGAATCAAGCGGAAATGGAAACGAAAATTCTGGAGGAGTTTTCACCGAATCCAAGAAAACTTTAATTAGCATGAAATGTATAAAAATAATATAAAAAAGTTACTGGAATTAAAAAATTTTTTCAGCCCCACCCTACATGCGGACCCTTGCTCATCTCTGTTAAAATTTCTTCTTGTCAGCCATAAGTGGTGAAATCCACTAAGAGGATTTTGTTAGCTCTTGACAGTTCACACGCCTGTCCAATTGAACCTTCTCTATATTACATGTTCTCTGTTTGCATACATTGCGAAAGCAAAAATTGAAGCATGAAAATATCACAATGCTGTTGTTGGGAGTATCATAAGGAGCATGCATACATATACTATTTATGACTCTTCATATTCTTGAGTATGTGAGACAGAGAACACAACAAAAAATGTCTTTATGTTATCTGTGTGTATGTGTGAGGTGTGTTTTGTACACATTTTTCGCAGTCAAAAGTGAAACTAAATATAAAAAAGCAAAAGGAAATTCTTCGTTAGGAGTGTAATCATGGGGATGCATACACATATTTCTGTCTCTTCATATTCTCTGCTTCGGCATATATGCATTGTCATCATATGCCGTAAATACATATTATATATTTATTTCTCTTCATATTCTCGGTTAGAATATGTGAGAGAAATGTAAAAAAATGTTTAAATTGTGAGGCGAATTCCGACCTACAATGTTAACAAATGCGGCGAATTCCTTACTTTGAACAGAGAACGTATAACATAGAGAAGGTTCATGGAGTGACGATTGTGATCACGTTCCTCTTTTTGGAGGAGTTGAGTTTTCTATTAGTGGATTTCACCACAAAAATATTATTARCGGATTTCGMCAATATTTAACATGAGGAGGTCGAAAATAGCAGATTTGAGCATTTTCATTGTTAAACGAGAAAACTGATGCTAATATCAATGTACGCTTACAGATTGCCGCTTTACAGCTTTGCCTACAAACTAGCGAAAATACATGTGTATGTTTGTGCTTGTATCAACGCAGCTGCGTAAAAATATTTCAGAATTACAAAATATTTTTTACATTCCTTGGGAAATACAGTCAGTCATGGTTATGTGCCACATTCAAAGATATAGATATTTATAGTTAGTTAAAAATAAATATATAATATGGTACATAAGCGACTGCGGATACTTAAATTAGTAGTACTTAAAACAGTATTTTCTAGGTATTTTAAAAAACAAATCGTGAGATGCAGCAAGATGTAATAGAGGCTGTTAAGAGTGATGGGGGAGAAATTTGATTTTCATTTAAGCGGAGTAAATGTTCGTTGAAGTTCAAAGGCGAGAAAACTTCGAATAATTATCGGAAAACCCCTAAAAACAGGTCTTTTCTCTTTCCCATACAAACGATATATAAAAATTAATGTTTGTTTGTTAGTAATGCTAAGAGAACGGCTGAACCAATCTTGATTTTTAGAGGTTGTCGGTTATGGATCGGGTAAGGT